GAGAGGGTTAAACCAGGATGCTCCTTGGAGGCAAGGATTCTGGGGCTTCACCTGACCTACTTTGGACATGTTGTAAGAAGGGACAGGTCCTTGGAGAGGGACATCATGCTTGAGAGGGTGGAGGGACAGCGCGGGAGGGGAAGGCCCTCTATGAGGTGGATTGCTTCAGTGACTGGGGTAATCGGGATGGGAGTGTCAGAGGCAGTGCGATTGGCAAAGGATAGAGCAGGGTTTAGGGCTGTTGTACACAGGGTCACTATGAGTTGCAAGCGACTCGACAGCATGTAACAACAAAAAAATAATGATGAAAGAGACCTTTGCAGGGGTAGACCTCTGAGAAGCTGGGGAGTCACATGAATGGTCACTCCAGCCAGGCTCGATGTTATGGGCCTCTAAGACCCAGTCACAGGGGCTCCAGTGGTGCAGTGTTTAAGCATTTGGTTGCTGACTGATTTAAAGCTATCAGGGGAAAGGTGAAGCTGTTTGTTCCAATAAGGACTTATTCCTGAACACTGTTGGGCAGTCCCAGCTGTATCTCACGGAGTCACTGAAGGTCAGAGTTGATTTGATGGCACCTGATGGCGAGGCCTGGTCCCCTCCCAGGGAGGGTGGTCTCCTGAGAGAAGATTAAAAGTGCACAGAGCTGCTGGGACTGTGGCCCACCACTTAGCAGCCGTCTAGCCCTTGGACAAGTGACTGAACAACATTGTACCTCAGTTTTCCTACCTGTGAAATGAAGATACAATGTTACACACAGGACCAGGCTAAAAGGTATGATCGGAAAACAGCAGTGGTCAGGCAGCTCAGCTTCTCACCCCCTGCCAAGATTCTCCGGAGGAAACTCAGTTCAAGACAGAGTTGGCCAGGCTGTCAGCAAAACCTGCTTCTGCCAGAGTGGACACAAAGCCCCGTGAGACAGCAGGAAAGGACAGTGCCAGACGAAACGTGCAGAGAGAGAAAAGAAAGTGAAGGGGAGCAGGGCCACCAGGAAACTACAGGAGAGGGAGGCATGTGCAGGAGACAGAAACTGAAGATGCAATACGCCCAGCCTCCGGGGAGCAGGGCCACCAGTCCCGCCTGCAGCCTGTCCCATGGCCGGCTGCATCGCTCCTGTGCTGTCCAAAGCCCTTCCCACCCGCTCCAGAGGATCACCGTGGCCACCGCTTTAGATGCACCTTTTTATAGTAGCTCTCGAGAAAGATTTTTAAGAAAGGGAGAAATCCCATCGTTTTCTCCATCACAGATGCTTTTAACATACAGTTGAAATCACTGGCTGCTTGTCTGTCTTTGGGCGCAGCCAGGAAATGGAAGGCCGCAGAGGTAAGCTCCAGGCTGCTCGAAGGCTGCGCAGCAGTGTGGACGCATCTGCAGCCCTGGGAGAGCCGGCAGTGTCTGGAGCCCCACGCAGCAGCCCTGCTCTGTCCTGGGGTCTCAGCTGACACCACAACAGTGGGTAGGTTGACTGTGTCAGGCGTCAACAGAGCATGCAAGTCTGAATATTCTATGACGTGAAGCCTGCAAATTGGCAGCTTGGCTCACGGACGTGTAGGTCCTGAACGTCCTAGATTCTGTTCCCAGGTTGGTTGGTTAGTAGAATTGATTCTGAAAGCGGCCGGCTGCCGCAGCAGGCTCCCGGGCAGAGCTACAAGCGTTCTTTGTAGAACATTTGATGATTGTGGCCCCGTTTCTTCATGACTTTGTTACGTGATACAGGGAGTGGAAATTTGAGCGCGTGTGTGTGTGTGTGTGTGTGTGTGAGAGAGAGAGAGAGAGAGAGAGAATGGAGCTCCAGGGGCTGCCCACCCCGAGGCACACGGTTCAAATCCACCAGATGCACCTCAGCCGAAAGAGAGGCAGTCCCCTCCCATGTCATTCACGGACCCCAAAAGCCCGCTGGAGCGTTGGCTCAGAGTCCATTCTCATGGGTACCCAAGTGTGTCGACATGAAACTGCGGGCAAGCGGGGCTCAGCACATTGTGTGATTGGAAACACCCCCACCCCAAACCCTCACTGGACTCCTGGTGGTGCAGAGAGATAGGTGTCAGGCGTCTTAATGAGGGGTCGGCGTCTCAAACCCGCCAGCTGCACCCAGGAGGGAGCAGAGGGTGTCCACTCCTGCTCAGCGGCCCAGCCTCAGGGCCCAGCACCTCTGTCAGCGGCCGGGAGCTGGCTGGGTGTGGACTGTGACCGCTAGGAGCAGGTGAGGGAATTGATGCTCGAGACCCTCGCAAGGAAAACTTGCCCCCAGTTTAAACCCGGAAAGTCATTGGGATGTAGAAAAGAATTCTAAGTGGGTGTTTCTTACCCTTTGCATTGCGTCTGTGATTTGTCTTCACGTTGACCCATGTCTCCAACAACATGCCCAAAGACAGCCCGTAAAATACCAGTTACTGGTGAGGAAGGCAGGCCAGCATTCGCTCGGTAGCTGTTGCTGCCGGTATTGGTGTTACTGTCTGCTGGGCAGTTTGCTCTGTGGGAGGAGATGGCTGTGACAGACGCAGTGTCTGTTCCCCGGAGGCCCCACCCTTCCTCAGCCGCACCCCACTTGGCCCAGACCCCCATCCACCAAATCCAAAGGCACTCGAGATCGAAAGTCAACATAATTTATTAAATAGGTTCGAGACTCTTCTCCGGAGTGTTAATAGCTCTTACGACAATAAATACCAATAAATAACACAGTTGCCACGTTCAGCCCTTACACAGGCCGGGGGCGGGGGGGCGGCAAGAACGTCATAAATAGCAGGATTATCACAATGGCAGGGTTCCATATATTATTTCACGTTAACTAATAATTTAAAATCCTCGGCCCTGCAGGACTGCCCCCATGGGCTCCAGGGTCCTGGAGGGGTGGGCAGCAGAGGGCTCCCACGTCACCTCTCTCTTTCAGGGCTCCCTGAGTTTCTCTCTGTCCCTGGAAAAGGGGCCGGCTCCTGACAGATGTAACTGGTCTCTTTGCCCGCAGGTTTGCTGACTAGTTCGAGGCACTTGGAAAACTGTCTGAAAATGGCCAGGAAGAAGCACTTGCGTTGCACAGAGTTCGTGGGCAGGGAGACTGTGACCCCCGGCTCCTGTGGGGAGTGGAGCTTCTCCAGCTGCTCTATGACCTCCAAGGTGAGATTCTTGTGCTCTGGCTCCTCCGAGTGGATCTTCTGGAAGTAGGACAGGATGGCCGAGCTGTTGATCCTGTCGGGGAGCTGGGGGCTGGAGGTGGTACAGGGCAGCCTGTACTTGCAGCATTCTGGCACCCCGGCCTCTTTCTTCAGCTGTGGGGTGAGGGAGGAGCAGGGGGTGTGTTTGGGGTGACTGGGAAAGCTGGCACATGGCTCGATGTATCGCCTGGTCATCTCCCCAGAGGTATATGACCCTGAGCCACTGACCAGCCTGTGTGCACCCTCAGGCTGGCTGCTGACCCCGCACCCCTCCTCCCTGCTGCCCTCTCCTCATCTGACTAAGGTGATGGAACCCACCAGAACCCACTGCCACACAGTCGATCCCAACAGGAGCAGGCTGTCTGGGATCCACTCGGGGATCAAACCACCGACCTTTCAGTCAGCAGCCCTACGTTAACCTCCTGTACCAGCAGGCCTCTTGAGAGCTCCAGAGCCTCCCGGATCCTGTCCTTGGAGCTGCATGGCCCCTGGGCTTCCTCCCTGCCCCTTGTCCCCGGCTCCTTCTGTGTCTCACAGCGACCCCCTTCCCCTATAGACTGGATGAGGGCTTTTAAAGTCCTGCATTAGCCAGGCAGTCTTTACAGCCCATAGGGGCTTTCACTGCCCCTGCACACAACCCTGCCAATCCAGGGTGTGTTTCAGGCCGGGAGACTCTGTTAATATTACCACGAACCGAGGAACTTGGGCACGGGCCATCTCCCAAGGTTGCCCCGTAAAGCAGAATGCAGCCCAGACCCTCCACCGTCCCATCGTTCTGAGTCTCGGAGCCTGTAAATCTTAACAGGAGCAAACCTTCTCCCTCAGAGGGGCTGGTGGGTCTGAACTGCAGACCTTTTGGTTAGCAACCCAACACTTAACCGACTGCACCACAGAGCTCCTCCCAAGGTGGTCCTTCCAGTCAATGAGAAATGACTGCGTCTCTGGCTCTCTTGGGTAACCTCTGTGCCTGCACCCCCATTCATGCAGGTCTTTGCCTGTCCTCTCCCACTGCTCTTTTCACAGCTCTCTCCTCACGTCAGGAAACACCAGGCGTCTTGTAGGAGTGAGTGAATCCTTAAAAAAACTGATTTGCCAAACCCTTGTCTAAGGCACTTACATAGCTCTCCAGAAGCATCCTGGATACAAACTGTAGTTCCACGATGATCTGTTGTGCGACATCTCTCTGTAGCCAGTGGATGGGTGACATGTAGGACATAGACAAGGTCGCTATACAGCAGGCCAGAAACAGCGTGAACCTGGAGGGTCCTGGAGGAAAGAGAGGATGGAGTGAGTCCCACGGGGAGCCCCCAGCCTGGCCAGGCCCACCTGGATGCAGGCCGTGGGGATGGTGGATACCGTGGGTGTGGGCGCCGCGGTACCTGTGTGCGAGGCCATGGCGAGTGACAGCTGGCGCCCCAGTGCTGATGTGCTCTCCGTGGGGACGGGTATATAAAGGCCCAGGGCTGGAAAGAAAGACTAACCAGTGTCCCGCCTGTGGCAAACCATTCTAAGCTTTTCTCCAGAAAACACTTTCAAAATTCTGCCGCCCAGGCTGGGGCGAGAGGAAGTGCTGAGGTTACCCCTAGATAGGGCCACGCCTGTGCAACAGGGCACACACATCTCTGCCGCTTCTTGGAAAGAGCACTCTGCTCTGTCAAGAAGAAATGCCCCGGCCAGGGTTGGCAGAAGCTACCACAGGGGAACAGATGAATTCCAGGAGCCCCGGGTCACAGCCCCGCAGGGAATTCCTGGGCAGGACCCCAGCGGGGGTGCAGGGGCAGACGTCAGTGTGGGGCTCAACCAACATTTTATCTTGGGAAATTTCTTAAAACACAAGGTTCAAGAATGGCCCCTGGACCCACTCTGAATGTGGTGAGTCCAAGGCGTCTCTTCATTGCCCTTGACCTTGAACGTCCGTAGACTCTCAACTGTGTCTTTGCAACCCCAGGACTTGGCCGCCATGCTCAGAGCTCTTGGTTGAAATCACTTCCTCATCTTTTCATTGCAGTTTGAGTGAGGGTTTGCAGAGCGACTGGGTTGTGTGTTCACACACTGTGTTCTGTGAGGTTCCTCACCCTCTGCTCGGTGGGTGCCAGGATGCAGACACTGTCTCGTGTTCAGGGTATGTTCTCAGGCGTGAAAAAGACCCCGATGGGATGGCTTGACACTGAGGCTGCAGTGTTGGGCATTAGCACAACAGAGGTGTGGACAGCGAGGTTGACTTGAGAACACCTCCCAAGAGCAGTGACTCCACAGCGCTCGGTCTGTGTCCTCCCTGGAGCTTCCATTCATCCTTCCAGCCCGGCCCTTCCTGACTTGCACCCTGTCTCTGGAGAGGTCCTGCAATTCACTTCCACCTGGTTGCTTGCTCTAGGGAGCGTTGATGAGTCAGTGATAAGTGGCAGGGCCAACCCAAAGGGCCATGGTTTGAATCCACCAGCTTCCCTGCAGGAGAACAATCAGCAGTTTACTGTCTCTGAAAACCTGCTGAGGGGCAGCTGTGAAGTCAGTGGGACAGCGACAGTGTCCTGTTCAAAGGAGCGGGCTCCCCTTGGTGTGACTGTTGTTACATGACAGGCCATTCAGGTGGCTGAGAGGTGAGCTCCGAGGGGGATGTTTGGCCCCAGGCTCACACACGGGCTCTTTTTGACTCCTCCCTCCGGCTGGCACTGTTCCAGGATCTCAGGAGAGGTGATATACGGATCAGATAAGGTGTCTCACAGTCCAAATGAGCAAGGGGCCAAGGAGGTATCAATCAGGTAATGAGAAGAACTCAGTACCTTCAAAAGGAAAGGAACCAGGTGATGTGATGGAAAGTGACAGGTGAGAGCCTTTAAGGTAGGTGATGGAAAACTCAGGTGACATTCAAGCTGAAACCTTGAAAGACGAGAGAGAGTTGGCCATGGGACGATCTGGAGAATGAGAGTTCTGAATAGAGGGGACACCAGTTCAGATACGCTCAGACAACATGAGCCTAGTGTCCAGGGGCCAGGAGGAAGGTCGTGGGCAGGAATGTAGACATCTGGGTAGGTTGCAGTCAAGTTGTTGTTGTTTGGTGCCGTCGAGTCGTAGATGACTCATAGCGACCCTATGAACCAACAGCCTGAACACTGTTCATACATAGAGTTTCCGGAGGCAAGCCATTTCAGAAGTGGGTGCCACTCCTGCCTCCAGTTGCGGTCAAGAGTTAGTTAAAAAAAAAAAAGAAAATGTAAAGATAACCCAAAGAACTGGGGCAGCTATGTGCAGGACTGATAAAAGCTAGTATCCAGGATATATAAAGAATTCTTACAACTCAATAATTGTTGTTAAGAGCCATCGAGTCGTAGACAACTCCTAGAGACCCTAAGAACAAAAGACCTGAACACTTGTGTAACTTTCATCGTTTCTCCAAGTTCATAGAGTTTCCGGAGGCAAAGCTATTTCAACTCAGTAATAAAAAGATAAATAACCCAATTTCAAAATGACAGGGGTTTGAATAGAGAGATTTCCTTCAAGGAATATACACACAGAGCCAGTACATACATTAAAAGATAGCCAGTGTCAGTAGTCATCAGAGAAATGCAAATCAAAACCACCGTGAGGTTCCACGGACACCCACCAGAAGCGTGGCATGGGCTGGGTTCTCCAGAGAAGCCTGATGCAGCTTCTAGATACTCAGAGAGATAGGCCTCAAGGAAATGGGTTACGTAGTTGATGGAACTGGTAAGCCCCAAGTCAGACGTCAGGATCGGGCTGCCTCCTGGCTAAGGTCAGCTCCACCTCAGAGACTCCACGACAGGGCTGGAACCTTGCCCGGTTCTGGTCTGTCCCCACCATGCTCACTCCCACTGTGGCCACCACTGAGCCAGCCCGCCTCCTGGAGGGGCTTCCTCCCTCACGCTGACCCCTGCACTCCAAGCGTGATGTTCTTTCCCAAGGATGGACTGATCCCTCCCAGTAGCATGCGCAGAGAGTGGGAGGTGAAATTTTACCACCCGGAACTCAAAGGAGCACCCTGGGTGTACTTCGAAGACAGGTCGCTTGTTCTGCTGGAAGCCCATTCAGTACTCTGCCAGTCCCGCAACTCACAGCCTTCACTTGTTCTCTTCATTGTCCAACAGCCTTGCGCATGTGAAGCAACTGACACCTTTGCCCTTTACCACTTTAAATCGGTCCTTGTCAGAAAATTTCACCAGGGCATTGCGTCTTTCCATGTCCTGACTATTTTTTCCCTGATTGTTGATTGTGGAGCCAAGCAAAATGAAATCATTGAGAATGTCAGTCTTTTCTCCATTTACCATGAGGTTGCTTGTTGCAGTTGTGACAGTTTTGGGCTGGGTTGTTTTTAATGTTTAGATGTAGTCTGTGAAGTCTTCAGTAGGTATTGCAAGCTGTGCTTACTTCACGCAGGCAGTTGTGTCAACTGCACAGTGCAGGTTGATAATGAGTGTGTCTGTCTCTCTCCTCTCCTCTCCTCTTTCTCATCTCTCCTCTCTCTCCCTCTTTCCCTCCCCCTCCCTTTCTTTCTCCCTCCCTCTCCCTTTTTCTCTCCCTCCCCTCTTTCCCTCTCCCTCCCTCCCTTTGAATTGATCCAGAACACCCATTGGGTTTCCAAGGCTGTACAACACAGGCAAGGAGACTGTTGGATGTTCCCCCTTGGAGCATCCGCTAAATCCTTATCAGCAAGTAAGTCCCCTGTGAGTGAATTATGTCGCCCTTGAGACCACATCACCAGAGCTCTCTCCAGATAGTTCAGCGTCTCGAGTTATTTGCAGAGTATACAGATTGCATAGGGATGATGACTAGATAAAACCCTGACATGCTCGCTTCCTGATTTTGAACCATGCGGTACCCCGTGGTTCACCCAGCTCCTTCTGGGTCTGAGGTTTCAAATGCACGCAGTTAAGTGTTCTGGCTTTCACATTCTTTCAGTGTTAGCCCTAATTTGTTAGGATCTACACTGTCAAATGCCTTTTCATAGTCATTAAAACACAAGTAAACATCTTTCTGGACTCTATACTTTCAGCCAAGATCCTTCCAACATCAGCAATGATACATCCCTTTTGCCACAGCCTCTTCTGAATTCAGATCTAATTTCTGTCAATTTCCTGTCTTTGTAATACTCTTCAAGATTTTACTTGAGCGTGACATTAATGATATTGTCTGATTTCTGAATTCCGTTGACTCACTTTTTAAAAGGTGGGAACTAATAGAGATCTCTTCTGTTTGGTGGGCCTGGTAGCTGTCTTCTGGATTTCTTGACATAGACTGGTGAGCACACCCAGGGCTGCATCTTCTGAAATCACCTCAGTTGTTAGTCCAACAATCCCTGAAGCCTGATCTTTTGACAAAGGCTTTAGTGTAGTTTGGACTTCTGTCCTCAGTAACCTTGATTCTTGACCATCTACTGCTTCCTGAATGGTTCAGTGTCCACCAGTTCTTTTTGGTACAGTAACTGTGTATTCTCTCCATCATGTTTTGATGTTTCCTGCGTCATCCAAAATATTACCCAGAAACACCTTCAGTATTGCAGCCTGAAGCTTAATTTCTCCCTTTCTGCTCGAGAAGTGCCAAGTGTACCCGTCGCTTTGCACGTTCCATTGAGATACTTTCTTGAGCTGTCCTTCGAGATCTTCTGTTCAGCTCTCTTGTTGTCATTTCTGCCTTTTACTTTGACTTCTCTACACTGAAGACCAAGTGTCAGAGTCTCCTCTGACATCCGTTTTGGCCTTTCCTTTCCAGCCGTGGGGTCGTGGTGGCGTAGTCGGTAGCATGCGGCCCCGCTACCCAGAAGGCTGTGTGGCTCTGGGGGTTTGACTCCACCAGTCGTTAGAGGGAGGAAGATAAAATGCCTCCTCACGTTAAGGTTTACAGCCTCCAAAACCCGCTGCGGCACCACGGAGAGGCAGAGTCAAGGCAAGACCGTGAGCCTCAGGATATTACAGGGATTTCATATTCACAGAGACTTTTACCCAGGTAACTTAATACTGGCCCCTGTCTTCATCCTAAGCATTTGGGTTAATAGAATTTGTGCTGTAAAATGTATTGTTGCCTGTTTTGGAGAATACTCCAGCATTTTTCCAAATGTGACCTGTGGAGTTACCATCAGCTCACTCACTCTCACTGTCATTGCTGACAAGTCGAAACTGGCCCGTAGCTGACCTGACAGTGGGGTTTTAGAGGCTGTAAATCTTACGGGAGGAGATTACCCATATTTCTTCCAAGGAGTAGTTGATGGATATGAACTGCCTGCCTTTGGGTTGCCAGAGCAACTCCTTACCCCGTAGACTACCAGAACACTATAGTTACAATGTTGTTGTTGTGTACCATCAAGTCAGAACTGACCCGTAGCTGACCCTCCAATGGGTTTTCAGAGGCTGTAAATGTCTCAGGAGGAGATTGCTCACCTTTCTCCTGTGGAGCAGCTGGGGGATTAGAACCGTGTTACCTTGCCTTGACAGCACAGTTCCTTACCCAAAGCCACCAGTACTTCCAGAGTCACCAGAGGGCCCAGGGAGTCCATTCCTAGGTGCCTACCAGAAGACGTGGAACTGTCCACACGGAAACTTGTATACAGGGGTTCATAGCCCAAAGGTGGGCATAGCCCCGGTGTCTATGAGCAGATGAATGGATAAACAAAACATGGTTGACCCAGGCAGTGGGACATTACTTAACCACAAAAAAGGTCAGTTCTGATTCCCAGGATTCTTGAAAACATGATTAGTGAACGAAGCCAGTTACAAAAGAAGACATATTGTAGTTACTGGCTTACATGAAATACTCAGCAAGTCAGATCCACAGAGACAGAAGGTAGATTAGTGGTGACCAAAGGCTGCTGGAGGGAGGGAGGTGATACTGGGGAGTGACTATTGATGAGTGTCTTCTTGTATTGGTGAAAATTATGTTTTTGTAAAGTTGCTCTACAGAAAAAGTTCTGTGAATATATTGGAAGACATAAAATTGTACACTTTAGATGGGTGAACTTAATTAAAACATTCATTTTATTTTTATTATTTGTGTGTGTGTGTGTGTGTACCGTCAAATCAGATTTGACTGGTACAGGAAGAGATGGTTCCTCCTTCTCCAGCAAAGCATCTGGTGGATTTGAACCGCACACCTCTGGGATTGCAGTGCAGCTTCTTGCCACTAGGCCACCAGAGCTCACAATGAAAATATTTTTAATTGTGGTTTAGGTTAAAGTTTACAGAACAAATTTTCCATCCAACAGTTCAAATAGATACTGATTTGTGACATTGAATTGCCACAATGTAACAGCATCCTTCCCACTTCTTCCCTGTGTTTCCTGTTTCCATTCCTCCTTTTGTAATTTTTGTAAGGTGGATTGACACAGTAGCTACATTTTCTTTTCAATTTTTTTAAATTGGTTTGCTTACAAAGCTTGTCAACATTGTGTCTCACACTATTCTTCATTCACATTGTTTCATTCAGTCATTCTCCTGCGTTGTTTTACAAAGTTAATACCCATTGGACCTTACCCATCATTACCTTGTCTTCTCATCCAGATCCTTCTCATTTCCTTCCTTCTCATCCCTCCACCCACAAAACTGCGCAACCCTGTGGTTTCCCCACTACCCATCCTCACCCCTCCTATCTGCACTCCTCCTCTCCTTGAGCTATACATGTTTTACTAGTTATCCTTCTATTTTTACAATAATGGTCTTATGCAGTATTTGTCCTTATGAGACTGAGTTTGTTCACTCAACACACTTGTCTCCACTACCTCCCAAGTTACGTAGTATTTTTCGAAGTTACTGCTCCTGAGTGCTGCATAGTATTCTATTGTGTGAAGCTATCGCAATTTCTCAGTCCATTTTATTTTGGTTGGACATTTGGGCTTTTTCCATGATCTTGAAATGGTGAATAACAGTACTATGAACAGTGTCTCAGTTGTAATTTTCTTCTGGTATATTCCTAGTCGTGGTATAGGTGGGTCATACGGAGTTTCTGTGTTCAACTCTTTGAGGAAATGACAAACTGCATTCCAGAGTGGTTGTACCATTTTACAATCCCACCAACAGTGTACAAGAGTTCCCACCTCTCCATGTCCTCTCCATTTCTTGCTTGCTGCCCTGCTAAACTTTGTCACTGCTGCTGGTGTGAGATGGTATCTCATTGTGGTTTTGATTTGCATCTTTGTTCTTGCCAGTGATCCTAAGCATTTCTTCATGTTGGCCATCTGAATGTCTTCCTCTGTGATAAGTCCTGTGTCTTTTGTCCATTTTGTAAGTGTGCCATCAGTCTTTTTCTTCTGGAGGCCCAAGAGTATTCTGTAAACTTTTGTTATGAGACCCTTGTCTGAAATGGTATTTCCAAATGTGTGTTCCCAGTCAGTAGGTTTTCTTTTTCACTCTGTTAGAAAATGTTTTTGATGAGCACAGAGATTTAGTCTTAGAAAGTTCTGTTCATCAATTTTATCCTCTCCAGAGTGTGCATTTCTGCCTGTATTTGGCAGTCTCTTTATACCATAGACCAGGCCATCTAAGCTTGATCCCAGTTTGTCTCTGATGAACTTTACGGTTGTGGGTTTTACTCCCAGGTCTCTGATCCCCCTTGAGTTGATGTTTGTGTGTGGTGTGGATCCCGGTTCAGCTCTCTGCAGCTTTGCCAGCACTGTTTGTTGAAGAGGTTGTCGTTTATCCATTTGACAGGTTTGATTCTATTCCTTTTTGCTTCCTCCAGTCCTTCTTGTTCTCCTGTGTCAAATGCTACCCCTTTGACCTTGTGTGTTTGGTTGTTTTAGGAGCTCACACCTCCCTCGGTTATTGACCACCTTAAAGGCCTGGTGCGTTAAAAACTCATGTCAAATAGGGTTCAGTGCCAGGCTCAAAGAGACTCTTAAGAGCATTGTCTTGGGGAATCCCAATAGTTAATACCAGGAACTCGGGTCTTTTTACACTTTTCTTTTTCCTTTTCATTTTCACTTTTTTTTTTTTTTGTTTTACTTTCTTTTTAACACTGGCCTTTTTTTGCAGTGATTTTTAGTTCCACATTTCCTGCTGCTGTTTGTTAGGGGTCTCTTTGGGATTCCTTTCCGAGTGGTGGGCAGTGGTAGCTACGGGCCATCCAATTCTCCATCTCGCTGGATTCAGGAGTGCTAACAGGGCGCATTTGATGGCATTTAAATTTGATCTCAGAAGACGTTGCCATTCTCGTTCGTATGACAAGAATCAGTTTATGTCATTAATTTAACAAATTATCGCTGAGAGCTGCTATGAGACGTGGGGGCCCGTGGGGCAGGCAGAGAGATGAGTAAGGCTGGGGCCTTCTGTGGGCGCTTTGAACTGTCAGCGACAATGGCTGATCCCAACTCGGGGTTCCTCTGACGCGCTTGTTTCAACTTGGGAACATTTCCCCTCCCAGATCCGTTCTTTGCTTGCGGCTGGGAGAAGTGAAAACAAGCTAATACAGGGGCACGCTCTGTCCCTGTGGGGAGTCGTACCCCCCATGGTGGTCAGGGCAAAGGCATCGGCACCCCACTTTCACAGGGCAGGGAGCACATTGACCCAGGGCACGGGGACTCCAGCTCAAGATGGGCCCAGTGCGCCTGCGCTCCCGGCGCGCGCATCCTCTGGTTGCCTAGCAACCGCCTGGGCGTGGTGCGCAAGGTGCATGGAGTCTCCGGGGACCGTGAGCGCTGCGGTGTGGAAACACCTGCGCCAGCTGAGCCTGCGGGAGTTCCCGTGCGGCCGGGGCAGCTGGGTGCGCGCGGGGCCGGACGGGTGGGGGGCCCCTCAGAATTTGGAGACAAGGACGTTGGCGGCTAGGCGCTTAGGGAGCAGTCTGACGAGGTGCAGGTCAGGGGCTTCGGGACCTGGGCCTTTGGAAGAGTGGGCACTGACGCAGGCTGGAAGGCGGAACCCTAACCCTGCGGGTCTGACCCTCAGCCAGGACACACCAAGTCACCAGGGGAAGAACCCCTGCAGCCTGGACGCCGGGCTCTTTGTGAGGTGAAACACCTTGCCCAGAGTGAGCTAGAAAGTGGGCCCAGACCACTCCATGGGACCCTGAGCGCAGTGGTCCGTGAGGCCAGTGGGCCTCCCCTTCTGAGGACTCGGGGTCTCGAGAAGTGATTCCCTTCCACTCACTGACTTGTCCTCCCTAAAGGACATGCCTCCAGGTATGATGAGGTCCATGCTGTGCCCACACCCCATTTACCAGGCTGTGGGGGAGACCCAAGGAAATGAGGCTCTGAGTAGTGGAAGTAGTAGCAACTTGATGGAGGAGATGGTGGTTTGCTGTTTAAGAAGGTCCTTCTCCCCTGAGTCCAGTTTGTTCTGGGAGGGGTGCCTCTCACCCACCTGGCCCTAGAGGGCTGGTGCTCAAAGAGCCTTAGAACTGGAGGTTCCCTGAGTGTTCCTGTATCTTCCTGAAAGTTCATGAAGGAGTTCTAGCAGCCAGTGCGGCATTGGAACCCTGGTGGTGCAGTGCATTAACTGTTAGGATTTTAACTGAAAAGTGGGTGGTCAGATTCAGCTACTCGAGGACATGGCTGTCTGAAGGATTGTAATGCTGTCCTTTTTTAAAAAATTTAATTTTTAAAAATTTCTATTCATTCACTGTTGCACGCTTTCCTCCCTGCTCACCGCTCCCCCAGTTCATTTTTCTCTTTGACAAGTAAAAAAAAAATTATTTTATTGTTATAAAATCCCACACACACAGTCCACTCCACTACGAAGGTTTCATTCTGGACTCCTGTCATGACAATAACACCTAATCAGATAGCGCCCTTTGACCTCGAGTGGCTGACTGCTCTGAGGTGTGTGTTCCTCCCAGAGTCGCCGGTCACCTTGTATAAGTGAAATTGTTTCCCAGGGGTGATAGGAGTTCCAGACTTGAAAAGTGACCACGCCTTTGGGCTCCACTGGCCCCTGAAAGACTTGCCCTTTTTTCCTGGTTTTTGTGTTGGTTCCCGTCTTTTTCTCACACTCTTCTCAGGAACCTTTTATTGTGATGCTGTCCAGAGCAGTCAGCAGTGGTCGCTGACCCTGCTAGGTCTTCTGGTCTCAGCATAGACACTGACGTTCACATGGTCAGTGCATCAGCCTGTCTGCTCCAGATAAGGAGACCAGTACTTGCACATTAGATGACCACCCCCCCAAAAAAAAACTATTTAAGGCCCCAGTGGCTACTCACCACCTTGGAGGCTGCATAGTGTGGTTGTGGCTCATGTCAACAAGGTCACACCATTCGGCCTTGGTGGCCTCTGTGACTGTGGTCCTGAGCTCCCAGGCCCAGAACCTCACTCCCTCAAGGTCTTAACTGAGACAGCTTTACAGTATTTCTCCCTTGAAGCCTCTGACCTTTCAGTTAGAAGTTGGCCAAGTTCATCACACCCATTTCACCACCCTCGGGCTCCCACGTGTTTTTAACTAAAAGCAAAAGCACTGGTCAGTGCCAACACACTACGACCCTCATTGGGGACCTGTAGGAGAGAACACTGCCCATCCTTGTCCCAAGCCATCAGAGGATTTGAACTGCCAACCCTTCAGGCACAGCTCAGCAGTTAGCACTTAACGCCAGGACTCCTTCATATTATTAATATTCATATATATATATATTTATATATATATATTTATATATATATATTTATATATATATTTTTTATATATACTAGGTTATTTTAGGTGATGTTTAATCTTTTACTTGCAAGTTCAAGGCTAATTTCCTAGTGCTTCCGCACTGAGTGCCCCATGTCAAGGGGCAGAACCACAGCCCTGGCCCCTTTCTAGAAGCCAGAACCAGAACCTACGGGCTTGAGTAGGCAGGGCTGAGCTCTCTGAAAGCTCGGGGGTGGGGGATCCTCTGTCCACGCCCTTCTAGGACCCTTTGTATTGCCTGCAGTCCCTGTGGTCCCCCATCTCCGCCTCCACTGCCGTGTGGCCTCCCCCCCGCACCTCTCCCCTCAGGACAGCAGCCATGGTGGGTGAGATCCCAGCCATGAGGCCTGATCTCGTCTCCGTCACACCAGAAAGGGCCCTGTCTCCAAATAAGACCGCGTGCACCGGCGGCATGGGGTTGGGCTTCAGCAAAAAATGATGCGGCCCAAACCCCGGTCCACAACCACCCCCCAGTGCTAAATGGATTCTAACTCAGCACAAGCCTCTGGGTCGGAGTGCAGCACCCCATGGTTTTCAAGGTGCTCTGTTAAGGAGGCAGACCACCCCATTTTTCTCCTACACAGTGACTCGTGGGTTTGATACAGCAGCCAAGCCCCGTAGCCACCTGCAAACCCAACACAGTTGAGCCTAACTCAGAGTGACGCTCACAGGGCCTGCAAGGCCACGGCTCTTAGGGGAAAGGGAGGGCGCCTGGCGGACTTTGCCCGCTGACCCTTCAGTTAACTGCCCAGGGCTTGCCCCTGGGCTCCCTTAAACTCCCTTGGTATCTGTGCTTGAGTCTGACAGGGACGTTGTCCACCCCCAACCCCAGAACAGGTCTCGCTTCCTGCCTCAAACGCAGAGAAGCTGGCGGGAGCTGGTCCCCAGGGAGGAGGAGCCGGGGAGCACCGAGGAGGAGCCGGTGGATGCCTTGCTGGACCTGGTCCGCAGCCCGCATTCCCCCTGGGCTCTGCTGCAGGACTCCAGCAAGGAGGACGCCTTCCTGAGGGAGCTGGCCATCCGGGACCCGCTCAAGATCACCGACGCCTTCTTCTACTCCTACTTTCGGTGCCTGCGTGTGGTGGACAAGGAGGTGACCCTGAGGGCGGCCAGCTTGGGGCGGGGGGGGGGGGTTTCTGCTGGCGAGGGGCATCTGAGAGAAGGTCCACAGGGCACATTCCTGGCCCTGTCAGCAGTTAACACACATCGGCAGTAGTTACAGACCTGTCAGGGTGACAGCTCCCTTCCCCCCCGCCCCCACCCCGTCACCTGGCTTCCCTTGGGTCTTGAGTAACCCAGCAGGGGTGGTGCCCCCGGGAAGAGGTCCCTGGTCTTCAGAGAGCACAGGAAACGAGGGCTCATGGCCATTCTGTGCTTCTGGCCTGAAGCCTTCAGTGTCCACCACACTGAAGCCCCGGGGCCCCCCACCTCAGTGTTGCCAGGTGGGCTGAGGGCTTATGGGCTTGGCAGGACAGCAGAGAAGACAAGCTTCTGGGCTGTGGGATGCATGGGGCAGCGGCCTGACCCCCACAATGTGCCCATCAGGCAGGCCGGGTCACTGGGAGCAGAAGGGTTTCTGGGAGGTGGAGAACTTTCAGGAGAGGCCCACGGCATCGAGGTGCTGGGGTGCTGTGAGCAGGGACAGGGGGCTGGGGGTCACTCTCTGAAGAGGGTGTCCTCACCCAGCCAGCGGATGCCGTCTCTGTAGGACACAGAACTGCCTGCGGGGTTTCCGTGGTAGTTGAGGACAGCCTCGCCTTTCCTGGCAGTTTTGCAACCGCAGACCCTTCCCTTAGCAGCCTGAGCGCTGCACCACCAAGGCTCTTGGCCAACCAATGACGTAAAACTAAACTCCCCGCCTTAAAGCGTGCTCCCACTCTCTGCACCCTGTGGGTCCGAGGACGAGCCCTCAGGGAGCCCCCCCCCGTCCCCCTGGAGTGGGTAGTGGCTTTGAACCTCTGATCTGCCAGTTAGCAGCCAAGCCCCTAGGTCTCCGTGGTGAGCAGGGGCCTGACGGAGTCCTGCTGCCCTGTGCCGTCCCCACGGGAGCCCCTTTGTCTGCTTTCCAGGTGAGCCTAGTGGACAGAGGTCTCCTCAAGTTCCTGAACCTGGAGGAGCTGGTGCTGAGTGCCAACCGGATCAAGGTGGTCGATGCCGCCAACCTGCCCCCGACACTCAAGGTGAGACGCAGGCCGTCAGCCAGGGCTGCCCAGGGGGTGGAGGCCGCGGCCTGGCTCCCTCTCAGCGGTCACTGCGGTCCCCCAGGTCCTGGAGCTCTATGGCAATGAGGTCAGCAGCATGCAGTGTCTGTGCGACCACCCTCCTCCGGGCCTCCAGCATCTGGGCTTGGGCCACAACAAGCTGCAGGGTCCCTTGGAGAGTCTCTATGTGACCGCCGACCACTGGTGAGAGGGACGGGAGGGTGCGGCTGTGGCCGGTGCCACCAGCAGCGATGCCGTGCGTGGCTGTCCTTCTGTCCTCACACACGGCCTCTGCTGTTCCACCCATTGCTGTGGCCACAGTGCCAGCCCATCTCGCTGGGAGTCTCCCTCCTTCCGTCCGCCCTCTGTGGTCCCCGGTGCCGGCCTGTCTCGCTGGGGGTCTCCTCCCACCCTCCCTCCACTTTACCAAGCTTGACGTCCTTCTCCAGAGACTGCTCCCTTCTGATGACCTGGCCAAAGTGTGTGGTATGTCTCACATCCTCCCTTCTAAGGAGCGTCCGGCTGTGCTCCTCCAGGACAATCGTTTGCCCTTCTGGCCGGCCAGATTATGCATTAGACGTTGGCAGCGTGCACTTGCTTCTGTGAACTTTCAGTTTGCAGAGCACATTGGTTCTCCCCAATAATCCCGACACGTTTGGTGTCCTCGGCCAGGAGCAGCCTGCATTGCGCCCCCACCTCTCCCCTTCCTGCCAGGACCTGCCTTACCACCAGCCCCTCCACCTTCTGTGCCTTGAGGGGTTCGCACATTCTGGGGACCTGCCTCAC